AGCCCCTGCACCCCGGGGCGCAAACAGCAGCCGGGTGAGTGGCATTCAGGTCAGCACCTGCGTCCCCGTGGGGGCCGCGGGGGCCGCAGGGCACACGGGGGACAGCGCCCGCCCCGCGTCCGCCATGGACAACGGGTCCTGCTGCCTCCTCCGGGGGGACCCCATGGCGCAGGTGATGCCCCCGTTGCTGATCCTGTTCTTCGTGATCGGCGCCCTGGGCAACGGCCTCGCCCTGTGCGGCTTCTGCTTTTCCATGAAGACCTGGAAGCCGAGCACCATCTACCTGTTCAACCTGGCGGTGGCCGACTTCCTGCTCATGGTCTGCCTGCCCTTTCGGACGGACTACTACCGCAGGGACAGACGCTGGGCCTCCGGGGACGTCCCGTGCCGGCTGGTGCTGTTCATGCTGGCCATGAACAGGGCCGGGAGCATCGTCTTCCTCACCGTGGTGGCCGCCGACCGCTACTTCAAGGTGGTCCACCCCCACCACGCGGTGAACGGCATCTCCAACCGGACCGCGGCGGGCGTCGTCTGCGGGCTCTGGGCCGCGGTCATCCTGGGGACGCTGCACCTGCTGACCGAGAGCCACCTGTGCGCGCAGGGCGCCACCGTCTCCTGCGAGAGCTTCATCATGGAGTCCGCCAACGGCTGGCACGACATCCTGTTCCAGCTGGAGTTCTTCCTGCCCCTGGGCGTCATCCTGTTCTGCTCGGTCCGGGTGGTCTGCAGCCTGCGGCGCGGGCGGCTGGCCAGGCAGGCGCGCATGAGGCGGGCCACGCGCTTCATCACGGTGGTGGCCGCCGTCTTCATCACCTGCTACTTGCCCAGCGTGTCCGCCAGGCTCTATTTCCTGTGCACCGTCCCCTCGAGCGTCTGCGACCCCTCCGTCCACCTGGCCCTGCACGTGACCCTCAGCCTCACCTACATGAACAGCATGCTGGACCCCCTGGTCTACTACTTCTCAAGTCCCTCCTTCCCCAAATTCTACACCAAGCTCAAAATCCGCAGCTCGAGACCCGGGCGTCCGGGGCGGCCCGAGACCCCGAGGCCGGAGGAGATGCCCATCGCAGATCTCTGTCGCAAGAGCTGCGCCAGCCTGGCCAAGAGCTAGCAGAGCCAGCCCCGGGGTGCCCGGCGCGCT